AATATAAACGTCTTCCAGCTACACTGAGTGCATTAGAACAAAGCATTTGAATGAATATTTGCTGTTGTATTTTTTTTCTTTTCTAGCCCTTTTGATTTTATAACAGTAACTTCTGGTAATTTCCAGTCATCTTTCCCATGACAGAAACTCAATGCTGCTGCTTTTTGAAGTGTGTATCATTTGGTGACTGGGGTAGGCAATGGCACTGTTTTATGATGTTTGTGAATAAACATTTTATTATTCACTGATCATTTCATAATGAATTAGGAGACATCTTTCTGTTGAACAGAGCTGAAGGAAAGATTCTCAGTGCTCTGTCCTGACAGCCCCCAAGCAGTGAAGTCTTGTTTGATTTCATTGAAAAGGAGGATTGTTTTGACTCATCGCCCTCCCAAACATAGCTGAGAAGATTCCTCTGTGTAGGAGTACTGAGAGTTTTCGTTGGTGGTTTTTCATAAGACGACTGAATATGTACAAAGAAAATGTGAAAAAACTTGCGGCACTTCATTAAGTATGCAGCCTTCAGTGCTTAAAATTGCAGTCTTTTGCAGGTGCACCTCATCCTCTCTACTCTGAATAATTGAGTATAATTTGTAATTCTTACTGTATTCTTCCCACTGTTTCTGAGGTCATGTAGGAGTGGGTTGAGCAGCTTCAGTACTAGTACAGATACCTGGGGATTCTCCCCTCTCTCCCTATGGGAATTGAAAGCTTGCTCCTGCGCTGCCTCATGTCTCTTAACCTAAAAGTTTCTGGATACACAGGTCTTCATTAATTTTCTGTCGAGGCCAAATCGCCTTGAGAGTATTTTGTAAGGACGGTTGTCAAAGTTGGCTGGAAATCTACACGCACTATATCAAATAGTTCTGTGGTATCCATGTGCTAGTGATTCCTAGAGGGAACCACAGAAAGTCTGAGAGACTGGATTTCCCTTTACAGAAAACTAGACTTTCCCTGGTGTATTGTAGTCATTTATGTGTTTGCTCAGAGTGTTTCTATAACGTTGGCTAATTTTTCCTGTCACAAGCCTCAGGCTTCATGGTGGCATCACCCTGGGATGCTTTTAATTTTGGTGTTACGTTTGCCACCTGCTGTTCCTCGGGTACCGAAGCACTTCTCAGGAGGAGGTTACCTAGCACAGCTAGTTCATGTGGCTCACTCTTGCCTTTCTGTAGAAACCCATCTGTTCTTGACCTCCTGTTACTCTTCATTTGGCTTGTTTAGTCCATTGTCTCTTAACTGTGATTTCTGGTGGGACCTGCAAGTCATTCCTGCATGGGGAGGGTGCTGGCACGGGGACCCATCTGAGTTCTTTCACAGTGAGCACAAAAGAAGGGGGGGAGGGGGTGGAAGGTTTTGTGCTACTACCTTATTCTGTCTGAGCTTTTTTTAAATTTTTTTTTTTTGCCTTGATCATCTCTTGGCCCTGCAGACTCCCTGGCAGGCTTCCTGTCACAGTTCTGTTTGAAGGATTTATTTTTTTGAATTGATTAATATTTGAGAACATTTGCAAGTTGGGTTTTGGGTTCTTTTTTTTGGCCTACTTGCTGGCATATTCTGCTATATTGAAGCACCTGGAAGTCTATTAATACCAAAACCAATAACTGAGAGATCTCTTCCCTAATGGGGAAAAGTAAATACATTACTGCATATTTTATCCTAAGACTGACAGGATCTCCTTGTTTGTTTTTTAATCACCTGTTTCTGCCAGAGCTTGTGAACCCTTTTGTGTTCTTCACTTGGAAGTGGCTGGTTTTTCAAGGCCTCTTGTTTATTCTGAATAACCTTCCCTGCACAACTGCGTAGCCGTGCTGACTTACCTTGCCCTTTCTCAAGACTGTCTCAGTAAAAACCCCATGTACTTTTCCTTTGCCTCCAGCTGAGTGTCCTTAAGCTGTTATGGGCCCTGCAAACATTTTGGTCTTTCAGTAATATGTTTTCCCTTCCTTTTAATGAGCCTCCGTTTTTTTACAGAGTCTCTTTTGAGGCAGAGTATGCCACTGATCCTTTTTTTCGTCTTTTGCAAGGATGTTGACTCTAATACGCAATGGAGGATGTCGCAGACCCCGTTTTGTAATGTTTGTTTACCTACTCTGCAGAGCTGCGAGGAGGCTCTACCTCCTCTGCTTCAGTCAGGAGCCACCTTCTATCTGTATGTGACCATGCTCTTTCTCTCAAAGGGCTGAGCAAAGCCTCATCATCTCTCAGAACCTCCTAGTGAGGAGGGCGGTGGGTATCGTACCATTGGGGGCTGCCGATCTCTAGCAACAGATGCTAACTGTGATATGCAGAACAGTTTTGGGGGCAGGACTGGGCTTTGGGGAGCTGCCTTGGGCCCCCTGAGCCCTGACGGCCTTGCTGCCAAGTGGCACTGCATCAGTACGACCTGGGAGATTTTGTGAGCACGTGTTTGTACCTTTCAAGTTTTACTGTGCTCAAGAAAGAAAGAAATATCCCTATGTAATAATCATAGTTATTACTGCTATTGACCAAAGCATGTTTTGACTACAAATTTTTAAAATAATTATTTCTCATAAAAAAGTATATGTGCACCTTCTGAAATGATCCTACATGTGCTCTTACAAATTTATTAACATACTTAATGGCTGCTTCTTTGTGCAGTTATGTTTTCATAGTTCTAATTTAAGTTTAAGTGAAAAAGATACTTGCATTATCTATGGATTATTAAACCAGTATGAAAGTACATTTAACTTTGCTTCAAGGCACATCAGCTTATTGAATTCAAAACGGCTTTAAATTATCCCTAAACATTTCAGCAGACTGCAACTGATCTTGTTGCATGATATCTTCTAGTTTATGAGCAGCCCATTTCAGGGTGTAGTTAGAAAAACAACTTAGATGAAACCCATTAGATTTTTATTCCACCTTTCATCCTTAGTTTTTTTATACTTCTGTATAAGAAGTAAACTTCTTAGTTTTCTTATACAGCTTGTTTCTGTTCCATTGATTGATTTCGTTCTGAGGAGTCACTTTAATGGTGGCAGCGTGGGATAAAGTATCCATTGTTCAAGTAGAACCAGATTAATTTCAAATGCAGTTTTTCTAAATGCTGCTCTCAGGCTTCTCCTTGAATTGGAAAATAAAGCTTATGTCTTTTCCATCTGAATTATATATCCAACAATTTTTTTTTTAGTCTAGTTTTGGTGGTTGGGTACAGCTGACAGCTCATTATTGACAAGGCTAGATCCATCACTGTTACTCTAGCATGGACTCGGATGTTTCAGCTCGGCCTTCAGTATTGTAATGATGAGGTTAAAACTTTGCCAGCCTTAGCAAATTAGATTGTTTTTGTTGTGGGTATGTTTTTAACTGTAATATAGATTTGTCTGAGAGTGCTTCGATCAATTTGTAAATTTAAAAATAGTATTGCAGTGTCGTGCAGTTTTAAACATAAGCTTATCTCTCAGCATGTAACTTTTATGCAGCCCTAAAGCATTTTAAAAATTCAAATCTATGTCAAATATATCTTCTTGAGCTTGTCTTCCTCATTACACTTTTAAGAGTTTAATTTTTTAAAGAGTCAAAAGTGGGAACAGGCATGTGACAAGGACCTTACTTGCTCATTGGGAACTGCAGGAAAAGCCACGAGCAGAGACACAGAGTGAGGAGAGTACCAGACCCATGTGGGTAGGCAGATGCTCTGCACCCAAAGCTGAGAGCTGTGTAACCATGCGTGGCTGCAAGCCCTGGCTCACGACCCTGGAATAGCCTCACTGGACCTCAGTAACCTGTAGGAATGACTTCCGGGTGGGCAAACCGTGGGCACAATAGCTTGTGTTATTGCAGATGAACATGTGGCTACACATCCAAAAGTACAAGAGGGGCTATTAACTCTGCCCTCTTGGAAACTGCCTGGCATCCATTCATGTCTTGCTCTCCTCCTCCTGGCTCACCTCTTTTTCCTCTAGGTTTATAGATGGGTATTGCTAAAGAAATTGCAAATTTCTTCCAAATCTCAGCAGGGGGATTTCTAAAGGCTGTGCCAAAACTTGGCCAAGCGTGGACTAGCCTCATTCCTATTCCTATGCTAAATTTCAAGTTCCCTCTTGCAGAACATAGAGCATTAGAGCTTTCCAAAGCAAAGGCTACCAGGATTAGTTGTGTGTGGAAAAAATGGACCTCGTTTTTCATAGAGGTTAGTAAAAATTTTGGCCACCCAAATGAAAGTTCCAAGAAGGGGAGGGAAAAGACTGGTGCACATAGTTGATTAAGCAGCCAACGCTACTGAAACTGTTCTTCTAGAGTTGGGAATGGCAGCTCTGGTGTTTCCACTGGGGAGTGTATCAGTGTAGGAGAACTTTAGAAAATATTCAAAGCAAGAGTGAGGGCTGAGTGCTATTAGTAGGTACATGAATGCTATTAAGGCGGTAGGTAAAGAAATGGGCATGCCAATACTGAAAAAGGTGAAAGCCTGTGAATGGTTTATCTGGCTTTCTGTTTCCATGTTTGGCATGCGAGATCACTCCTCTTCTGAATAATGGTGTGAATTATTGCCATGTCCATACAAGCTTTTCAAATGTACCTGTCCTTCAAACGTCTATAGCTTGGCTTGGATGTCTTTTACAATATGTATTTGTGTATCACAGCCACTCTAGCTCCTAATGATTCTCACATTCAATTTGTTTTTATTTCCTTTTTTGAAGTATTTGCTGTATTTCACTGCTATGATGATGGCTGAAATGTTTGATTCAAAGGACTATTTAATAGTAGCATAGTCAAGCATTTGCTTGAACATTTGCAAGGTTCCTTTCCTTGAAGATACTATTATAGTATGGAATGTATCTAAAAGGAAGGAGATTGCTGTAGAAATACACGTTGCCTACTTAATTTCGATTTCAAAAGAGACACGTGCTGTAGCTATTAAATATGACTGCTGCAATTTCAGCAAATATCCTTTTCAGTTTCTGTTTTAAACCTAAGGCTCTGCCTACCGGCTTTCTGACTTCTCTGTTTCAAATCTGTCTGATTTTTCATTGCAGGCACATGTGAATCCCATCAGCGTCACGCCACCCATACAAGCCATAGATCAGGACCGAAACATCCAGCCTCCTTCTGATCGACCGGGCATCCTCTATTCCATCCTAGTTGGTTGGTGTCTGCTACTCTTGCTATCACTTGCAATCAGTCGCTTTATTATGACCAGCCAGAAAAAGATTGACTGGGAGAGTGGAAACCTAATAAAAATTCATATTGTGGTTAGTGGGATGTTTGAAATCATTGTTCTACCTATTTATGTTTAACTGCAATTTAGAAGCTCATTTCAGATGTCTGCATTATTTATTACTATTTATACAGATTAGATTCAGAATTGTCTGGTTTAGGGAATGGAACAACACAGCAAGCAAAAGGAGAGCAACTTGTCTGTGCTCATAGCTATGCTGCAATGCATTTTTCATTCACAGGTGCAAAGGCACAATAAAAGATGCTAAAGAAAGGCAATTAGAGGAGGTTTCATTCCAAAAGTCTTCTGGAACAAAGCAGCTTAAAGGGTCTAACTGCATCCACCTTTAATTTTGCTGCCTGTGAGCTTGCATGCATTCCCTTGTAATTTAATGTTTACTTGACTGTACTGTTTTCTGTCCAGAAAAGAATGCAGTTCTAGAGTTTAGGGCCACTTTGCTGGGGGATGTCTTGTATGCTGCTGTGTATGTCTTTTTCCTGCTGCTTTCCTGTGTTTGGAATTTCTTTCTGGTTGCTTATCTTATATGATTTGATAATGGAAAGGCCGAAGGCAGTGGTTTGCGGTTTCAGTCCTCCACCTGACCTGCTCTTCCCAAAGCAGAGACTGATGCCGTAGTAGTTTCTGTGCCTTGTGACTAGTGTGGGGATTGAAAGTTGTGTGTTTTGTGGAATCACATCTTTTTCATATTTACTGTGTTAAACTGTAGCTATGTTGATTTCTCACCCGTGGAGAGGTGGAAGTAAAGATTTTAATGAGCTGATTGCATAGTTTTTCTTGTCAAAAAACAAAAAAAAAGCTTTTGTATATTATTGTTCTGTTGTGAAAGGTGAAAAATTGTAGGTTAGATATGTCTGTCATTTTAAGAACCATCTTAAGAGGCTACTAATGAATCACTACCGTACCAAGTATCATTGTACTGAATGTGCAAGCCCTGAGCAGTGTGTGCAAGATATGAGCCTGAACACACTTGCTGCCAACAGACTGGTGTTGAGGCACTTCCTGGGCTCTACTCTTGAACTCGGCAAGGGCCATAGCTGTGGCAGATCAGCCTCAGCATGGCAGACTTCAGCATCCTTCAAGGAAAGAAATCAGGTTTTGTTTGCATAGTCATGAAGCAAGCTAGATTCTCTCAGGCTGTAATGGGATTCAAATCTGACAGACCAAGGTATGCATTGCTGTCAACTAGTCCTTTTCCAGCAAAACTGTTTTCTAAGGAAATTTGTAAATATTTGTAGAGTAAATATATTGGGTGTTTTCATGTTTGAAAATTGACTTGGTTTATTTATAAATTGACTTGGCTTATTTGTTTCATTTCTGCTACTGACAATTATGACCTAGTGCAACATTTAGTCCATGTTTTTTAAAGTTCTTTGCATAACTTGCAAAGTTCTTCAAGAATGAACTTATTAAAAATTGTGTTTCGCTAATCTGTGATATTTTTAATAATTGGATGACTGGTTTCACCTTGAAGAAATAATTCAGAAAGATGTATTAGAATAATTTGGCTTGGTTTGGGGGGTTTTATGGATTTCTCAATGGAAAGGCTATCTCTTTTCTTTTTTCTGTCATCCCTCCCCCCTAGTTTTCAAAAGGATTTCTTTTTAGGTTTTAAGTCTGTCTTCATCTTTGCCAGTATGCAGTCTTATTTATATTTTAGCCCTTGCCTCAGAAAATACTAGATAGTTTCACAGGAAATAGGCCTTGCAGATATTTCTTGTTATATGGATTTTTCCCTTGCTTTAGACCTAAGTGCAGTTTGTCTTTGTGTCTCCAGATATGCCTTTTTTAAACACCGGAAGGTCTGAACTGTGCCCATAGAATGAAAGAATAAGCTACTTACTGAATATGAGAACGATTTTGAATTTTATTTGATTTGACTGAGTTCTAATTTGGTGATTCTTTTATTCTACTTTCTTCCTCCCACTGCACACGGGTACAAGACAAGTCTTGACAGAAGATTTAGGTTGGTATGGATGTTATATATGAAATCCGCGCATCTTTTTAAGTGTCTTTAGGATCTACTGTAAAAACATGTTTCTTTTAATGAAGTCCAGCATCACTGTAGGCATCACTTACTTCTACTTCATGTGGCTTACTAACCTTATCCTTAAGTGCCCAGAAAGATCTTTGCCTGTCACGCTTTCAAGCTAACTATCCTTTCAAGTGTTCAGGTAAATGTCTCGGTGCTGCTTTCACTAAATCTAGTGATCTCTCCCTGAGATGAAAAGTTGAGCAGGGTACAAGTACAACCTCTCCAGTTCCAACAACAACAGGTTCCCCTGCAGCTCATTGAAAATGACTTAGATTCACTTGATGGTAAGAATAAATGCCTGTGGAAGCTCACATTCACGTGAGCATAGCAGTGCTGAAGACATAAGTAACTTGAAGATTCAGAGCTTGAGAAATTAAGAAATAGCCCAAGTGTGTTACTAGCCCATTATTTTCTCCTCTCCTTCTCATTCTGACCTCTGCAGTCCTCTCAAATGATATATCAAGATGTCTGAATGTACTTGTTCAGGTAGTTATGGACTGGTACTGATAAAACAATGGAAGATTAGATCTTAAATATTATTGAGCGTCTTCCTAAGATTAGAGAGCTAGTTGCAGCATGGTACTACTGGGATTGTTGTCTTCTATTTAAAGTATTGGCTAAATTACATAATGAAAGCACTACCTTCCAAAGTGCAGTAAAGTACTTCAGAGAAGAGGATTGAACTGAGGCCATACTGTAATATTTCATTTCTTATAAAATGCCTGCTATCTTTACATTTGGAAACATGATATTTGGAAATTTTTTTTCACGCACTAATTTTTCTAATACTTGACTTTCAGGAATGTTCATATGTTTGGGTCATTGCAAGAGATGCATATATAGTGTCTGGCATATGCAAGTGTGTAAGCAAGCCCCCTCCTTTTGCAAGTAGTGTGCATATGATAAAAAGGGGGTAAAAGCCAGCTCACTTTGTCATCTGCAGTCCCACCCCAATTTTTTTTTTTTTCATGCTACCTGCATCACAGCCCTGTGCTACTCTTGTATTTACTGCTCAGCCCTTTTTGGAGGTTTTTCTCTTAGCTATTTCTATTAGTAATTTTAGTGCTTGCTTTTCTCTGGGGCTGGTTCTTGGGAAAATTCAATTTTTGCTTTAAATCAGCTTTTGATTTTGGACCCCAGAACTGTCTCTGTGATTTCTGCTGCCAGTTTTGAACAATTAAGTGTTCTATTTGTTTGGTGTTTAAATGAAGAGCCAAAAAACACAACTTTTTTGAGGGTTTCTCTACTGTCCTGTGAGCTCCCTGACGCATTTGCCGGGCAGGCAGCATGCCCCACAAAAACCCTCCTCTGGCTGCAAGAAAAGCAAACCTAAGAGTGCTCTTCACCTTGTGGACTTTCCCCTCTGCTCTAAGATCATCAGGGAAGAGATCATGTTCCCTCCTGGGCTATCAGCTCACTGCTTCTGTTACCTGGGCCAAAAGAGTGTAATCAGAGGTTGGTGTGGATGGTACAATCTCAAGTCCATGTGCTAAAGTATGGAAAAGAAACCACGTGCCACTCTTCAGGGTGCTTACAGACCTGCTGTTGCATGCTGGCCTGCCACCGTTTGGTATCCTAGACTTCTCCAAACACACAGACCAGATGAATTTCTGAAGGCAGGAGACTCAGAGTTCATCCACACAGCTTTAGACCTCCCTGCTTTTCCTGAGCTACGTCTTCTTGCAGGTTGGACTCGTGAGAGAATGGCAGTGTAGGGGCGATGTGAACAGTTCTGTGGCCAGTAGTGCTTGTCTGTGATATGTCAATAACACATTTCAAAGACACAGTTACAGTTGCAGTAGGAAATTCCTCCTTTCTAGAAGCAGATCAGACAACAGTGTGGACTGAGGGTCGGTCTACTCTGTCAAAATACTATGTCAAAATACAAATATTTCTGTGTATGCAGAAGCAGATATCCCTGTTCCTGGAAAACTTTACTTTCAGATTTGAAGGTATTCTGGAGTTTGGACTCTTCTTGTGGTAGGCAGGAGCTGAGAAGCCATCAGCAGTTAAGATTCAGGCAGTCCAGCTCTATTATACTCTGTTCTTTCCTGATCATCCTCCTTGCTGTCTTTTCATCCTTTACCTGTTGTTTTGGGTTTTTTTTTTTGTTTGTTAGTTTTTCTTGTGTTCTTTCCTGGCATCCTTATACAATATTAGCTTCATCTTCCCTGCTGCAGATCACTTTGTGGCTCTTACAGCTGTCTCCATCCTCCCCTATGTATTTGTTCTCCTTCAGGGAACATTTTGTTTTTTACTTTTGCATTTAGTCCTTGATTTCTTGATTTTTCTTAGCTTCTGCATCAACCCTTGTGATGTGCGGCCTCATAAGACTACAGCAATCTGTTATCTGCCAAAAGCTTGGAGCTCCTGCTGGATTCTTAGTGCTTTTAAAACATTAAAACAGTTAATTAGGAGTTGAAAATAAAAGGGGGGGAGGGAGATAGAAACTCTGCATTTATGTTGGTGGTGTAATAGAAAAAAAAAATCCATAGTGGTTTTTCCTGTTACTACTCTCTGGGTGTATGGCATACATGTATACAGAGATATTTGCAGAATATGTACAGTGTATGTGTGTATATATATACACATAATATATATGCACAGTATATTCACAGTATAGCAAATGGTTGTCACATGATGAGTTGCAGATTAAAGCATTGTATGTGAGTTTGGACAGCAATCTATCTCCTGGGATAGATACTGACTTTCTAATAGCAGTTTCTAATCATTCCACTTGAAAGGTGAACAAATAATAGTATAATTTATCAGAAAAGTGGTCTTTTTTGTGTTGATTCTTATGCCCTTTTATACTGTATTGGCACGGCAATATTTGTCCTGCTCTCACGGTTGCTTTAAGACACCACAACTCATGGGCTTGAGGGACTTTGGCATTTATACCATCAGCCAGGAGTGCTTTCTGCCTCTCAGCTGCTACACAGGACTATTCCTAGACCTGAAATGACTTGAGATTTTAGACTTGTAATCAGTATTTTGGTTTCTTCGGATACTTTTAGTAATACTAATAAGCTGTGAGAAGCCAGAGTTCGTACTGTTTCTAAACGCTTTGGCTTTCTGAGCCCTGCTCTGTTCAGATCTGTGCTCTTGCATCTTCCCAGGTGACAGTCAGACTGGCCCAGAAAAAGTCAGACAATTGAAGCAAAACTAACTGGGATGAGACACAGAGGCTAGAAAAGGCGGATGTAGTTTTCTGCCACGCAAATGGGGAGAACATTCTTTTGTCTTTCAGAAAGAAAAATGGTATAGCCTCTATTCTGTGATAGGCAAGAGACTGTTGCTGAACAGTATCCCATATGCTTATTTCTTCATCCTACCCTGGCAATTAATGCTCCACTATGGCTACCTTTTTTGTACTTTCCTTGAGAATCATGCGGCTTGAAATCACTGTAGCTTAATTCTTGCCTCCTCCTGTGCCAGGCTGTGCTGCTAGAGCCTTTTGGCTTAGGCACAGTACCGTGGGAAAGCTTTTGGGCTGCAGCTGCCTCACTGGCCAGCCTAGGGGCCAGGCACAGCAAGATCCCTGCTGTCTCCACCCTTTGCACAGCCCTTGCTGAATCTCCGTGAGTTCACAGATCTGTTCAGGATCTGACTGCTTCTGTTTTAACGGGGTTGGAGAGTATCCTGGAAACTCACAGCCATGAAGATACTATTTACTGCTGACAATAAATGGAAGCTGTTAGACGCAGATGAGGTTTCATCTGGTTCTTCCTCTTTGATGAAGAACTTACTTTCTTAGAAGGATTTCTAAAATAATGTATCTATTGTTAAAACTTCTGTATATGTTATTAATAATGCATTAAAGAGCTTGCTCATAGGTGCAACAGAGTACTACAAGAACTAAGGTATTTAAAATGTGCATTTTAAATTGCAAATGTAAGGGCATGATCTGCAAGCAGTAACACGACTATCATGAACTTAGTGGTAACATCTTTGTCACACGACCTCATTGCGTATATTCGTTTAAATGTGTGCACTCAAAAAACGGTTCATAGTGTTCTGTGCTTTGTGACTAATGATACTTCAGGAGAAACATACTTCAAAGCTGGAGAGAGAAAATCTCAGTGTCTTTAGCAAGCTGGGTTTCAGGAATGTGGGTGGATACAAGTGCAAGACGATTTGTGGTGAAAGCTCATTTCTCCATATGTCATCTTATCTGGTTAGATTTATACATATCTTCTGGAAGCCAAGAAGCAGAATTTCCACCAGCTGCAGGTGTGTTTGGGCTCCTGTTGTTACCAAGTACTTAGGGATTCACAGTTGAGAAGAATCTTCATGGTTAGGAAGAATAAGGAAGTAATAATAGCAATAATAATAGCACTAAATACATAAATGTTAGTAGTATCCTTAAGCTCCATGTACGCATGATGCAATATTTTATCCTTATAATAACAGGATTCATTTTGCTCCTTTGATGACTACTGAGTAAAACAAATGTATTGTTTAACTAAATCTTTCATGAACAGCATTTATTCAAACCTCAATGTCTTTTTTTACAGGTACTCCTGAGGATTATCCACAGTATTTCCATATGAATCTCACAACAGCTGTACTCACACTCCTAAAGCCAATAAATAGGGATTTACACCAGAAGTTTGACTTGGTTATTAAGGTAATTTTGGCTAGATTCTTATTTCCATATGCTTTTGAAAACTGCTCAGTAACAAAAAGCTCTAGAGAAAATGTGAGGTGGACTTGCTTGTCTTTCCTGCATTGTTCTTTTTTATTTTTTAGCCCGTCAGGCATCATTTAACACAATCATGGGGAAGAAGGGAGTGAAGCATTTTTGAAAAGGGAATGAATCATGGTAGAGTTTTAACATTTCTTATTAGACTGGTATTGTATGAACAAACCAAGTACTACTTGTACATGTGCTTTTTACGAACTCAGTTGTCCTGAGAAAGCATTTGTTTTATATTTCATGTTTTCTCCAGTTTACAACGTATGCTGAAGAATCATATAGATACAAATAATTGTCTGAGTACTGAATATTGGGAGCAAGGAGAACAAAAAATCATCTCCACATCTTGTAGCAATTTTTGCGTGGTTTTGTTTTGTTTTTGGGTTGTTGTTGTTGTTTAGTTGGATTTTTACCTTTTTTTGGTTTTTTTTTTGTTTTTTGTACAGGGATGATGAAAAATAAAAAGTAGCTCACCCTCAGAGCTCTGCTACTGAATAAAAAGAAAGTTTTTAAAACACAACTGGTACTGATCTCATTCAGCTCCTATTGCTGTGAAAAGACATAAACCATTACTGTGGGTCTTTTCAAATCCCACTATCGATGAGGAGTGTTGGCATCCCTCCTCATTTGTATGTACTGCTTTGTCCTTAATTTTACAGTCTGACTCGTTAACAGTCTGCAGTTGTTCTTAACTGAGTCAAGTGATCAAAGCACGTATTAGTTAATTGTGAAGAGTGTGTCTTTACAGAAAATGTCAAAATGTATCTTCATCGGGTTACATAGTCCCAGTTTTACAAGTATAAAATATTTTCAGTTTTTGCTGCTTTTTTGCCACTTTGAGGATTAAGAGCAAAAGAATAGGTGGTGATGATATCAATATTTAATTGCTAAACTTGTTAAAAACAGTAAGCAATTATTTTTACTTAGAGCGAAATTGTACAAAGCTGTAAGCTTTGCTGCAGGTGAAATTTGCGTGATTGGGCTGCAAAAGTCAGTACAGTAAAGACAGTCTCTAATGAGAAAAGAGCACAATTACATTTGGTTCTTCTGGACAGTCTGGAGTTGTCCCTAAAGCTGTTGTCTAATGACACAGAAAATTGTATAGGTTTTGCTGTATTTACTGGTAAGCAGAGGAGCAAACAAAAGAGAAAGGAATCGCAGTAGCCTATTTTAAAGTAGTAGATCACTCATATATTTATCAGTGCGTTCCATGGAGAAGAGTGGGCTTTCCAAACCGCAGCATGTTTTTACACAGGGATGTCACAAAGCTCTTGCTGTTTGTTAGTAATGTTTAATCTAGTTCTAAATGCAAGGGTTTCACTCTTATGATAAGAATTATTTATTTGCATCTCATACGCCCCCTAATTTTTTGAGGGGTGTTAATGATGGCACTGGCAACAGGCAGTCCCTTTGGCAAGAGCAGCTCCTTCTATACCATCCTATAAACCTCTGTGAAATCATGTGCCATAGTTTTGCTAGCTCTCAGCCTCAATGCTTTTGGCCTGTCATGCAGTCAGACCAAAACGCTTGCTATCGTTCCTCAGGGAAAATCTGAGTAGGACTTAGTTCTCTGTTTTCCTTCAGAGCAAAAGCAAAGCTCAGTCTTTCAAGCATTTGTGAGTGGGGGGAGCAATGACAGACATTTCTGCTCTCAAAATAAGAAGGGATGAAGGAACATACACAAAAATGATGTGACAGAGCAATCTGGGTCCCCAGCTGTGCCTGTGCCTGGCCATGCAACAGCTGACTGTGGGTAGTACCTGTGTAACTTGTAGGAATTCTTCTTTTTTTTAATAGTAACTCTGAGCATTTATTAGGCACAGGAGAGTTAGGGACAGATTTGCAGGCTCCCTTAGTGCATCTCAGACAGAGCAGCAGTTTCTCTGGGAAGATGGTTATAAGTTTGTTAATATACAGGTCCGTTCTGTATCTTCTGAGGAACGTAACTGATGACAGTATGGCAGAAGATGAAATAAAATTGCAGTTCATAGGAATTTTAATAACTCAACACCTTTTTAAATACTTATGATAATTCCTACCTCAGTTGATTGCGTGCCCATCAAAGTACAGAGCTTGTATATGCTTAGAGTGAAATAATTTGTGATTAGATTCTTTTCTAATAATCTAGTTTTGAGCTTACTTCCTGTTGTGGAGTTCTGCTGTCACTGGGACAGATGAAGAAACTTAGGTGCTTTAATATCTAAATAAATATGTTAAGAAGTTATGGGTTAAAGTCCTGTAGTGCTTTATTTGGTGTCACCATTGATGTTGTCAAAATTCAGCAGCCATATACAATATTACAATACACCAATTAAAAAAAACAATTACATTGATCCATTACCGCATTCTGTGTGCCTAAATAGCAAGCTCTGTTGTTAATGGAAATGTTTATAGGCATTATTAGCTTCATATTGCTGTGTTATTTGTGCAGTCAAGGGGAAAATAAGGAAAATTATCAGTCTGTAAGAATGATAATATGCCACCTGCTAGAATAATAAAAGTTTAATGCTGTGTTGTTCAGGGGCCTTTTGAACTGCTATAGTGTCTCAGGCTTGTACAAAATCAAATCTTCAGATTCTTGTTTTGCACGTTCTCAAGTTTGCATTTGTCACAGTGTTGAAGCTGTCGAATCTGATTCTATTTTATCTGGTGGGGTGCAATATTTTGCAGGACTCGCTAAACTTAATCTTTAAAATATTCCCTCTGATATCAGGAGATCGATTTTTTTTTTCCTGCCAAAATATTATGGGAAACAATGAAATGAAAAAGGTAGTTAAGTCATTACATGAGTATCAGAATGCATGAAGTAAGGTAGACAGGAAATTGGTGCACTCATCTGTGATATAAAAACTGCATGGCTGCTTAATGTTGAACTCTCAAATAAGTAGACAATGGAAAAATCTAAACTTCTTAAGAAGAAATGCTGGTTTTCAGCTCCCCTGCTATCTTCAGAAGATATTGAATGATAAGCAAGGAGGCAAACTTGTTTGCCCTCCTAGGAAAGCTCATGTCACTTCCATTCCCTGCAAAGCAAGAAGGCCTTTTACAAAAGAACATGGGGTTTTTTTTTGTGTCCCATTGAAATTTCCATGTGGCAGCTGCAAGGCAGTCACAAAAAGCATGTGGATTTAGAGCCTTTAAACTGAAAGGGCTTTCCAGTGTTAATAATACTGTAACTAAAAATATAGTGTCTATGAGACCCAAAATGTGTAAGGTTGTGAACATAATGAACGGTAAATGTTCTTTCCCTTTACTTGCAGTTGCTTCTGTTATAAAAGATTGTTCATGAAATGCAAAAACACAGCCAATAATACTAATTCATTTTTTGAAACCAATTGCTTCTTTTGGTTGAAGTTTTAGTTATATGCATACGTGTGTAGTTTTGAAGATTCATGTTGGTAAGGCAGGGACTTACATGTCTCTTTGGAGAGCAGACAATTTGGAGAGAAAACAGTCTCTTCCGGAGCAGACAGTCTTGCTTTACAGGAGGTACTTGCTAGAGAAATCAAACCAAAGCTACAGTGAGTGGGAGCATGCTTTCAGCAACCTCAAAAGCAAAAAAATAATTACATCTTTGATCTGCAGCCTTGCTGAAACTTCTGCTGAGATTCTCAATAAAATAATAAACCTATTAAAACTCTCATTTCCTTAGCATTGTCACTAAAGTATCTATCTTTCCCCTGAAGGGCAATGATTTGTAACAGGAAAGCATGTAATCTGTTTAGCCCTCAGCAGAGTTAACTTCACCTCTGATACCTCTTTGCTTGCAGAAGGGGATATAGCTGCTTGAAGAAAATGGCAACAGCTTTGATCACCTTTCTGGAAAAAACATGACCACTGCACTGTAGATATGAGACTATTTTCTTGTTACTAGCTCTAAAAAGTGTCAGTGAGTTGTTTGGGGTTTTTTTGGTTGGTTGGTTGATTTTGGGGTTTTTTTAGTGTGTATTTCATGAAACAAATAGGAAAATTAATCAAATCAGTGCACTTTGTTCCTTTCCGATTTAAACATCGGTTATTTGTCAATCAGACAAAATCTAACCTGACAGTTCTGTTAAAATCAATTTGCAAAGTGGGTAGACTACTGAAGGCTAGATGTGCTTACACAGTCAATGAAATACTAATGAAAGAAAATGCTACACTATGGAGGAATTTACCATGCCTGTAAGAGACCAGATTTTGATAAAATCATTTGTGCTGAGTGGTAATTTAGTCGTAGAGACTGGTGTGGCTTTTGTTGTAGGTGGAGGATGAGGACTTACACTACCACAAAGGCTGTCAGTCCAGTCCAAAGAATGCGTATCCCAAAATGGAGATTTGGGGGAGAAATTGTCACTAGCAAATCATAAAGAGTTTTTACTTTATGAAATAGTTTAAAACTTTGTGACTTCTTGGATTATTTCAGTGTCTTGTAAAGCAAAAAGTGATCCTTCTCTAAATGAATAAATAGCAATGTTATTTACTATGATTACAGAATCAGTCTTCAAAACTGAAAATACTTTGAAGATTATAACATGAGGTGGAAAAAGAGAGGAATGTTTTGTTAATCTCATGTGGACACCTGTGTATTGGAGAAATTAAATTTGTGAATTTGTAATGTAGTTTTAAAGTAGGTTTTCGTACAACCTCTGGTTAATTCTTAAACCACTGTCTGTTGTGTTTGATTGTATTTGTGCCATTGGGAAACTGGGGAAGGATTTATCTGAATTTTACATCTCAATAAAAACTCCAATTTGATTTAAAAAAAGAAAGGGGTGGGAGGCCAGGGGTAAGTTTCCCAGCTTCAAATAACAATTGTAGCCTGACTTTTTAATAAGACTTTTCCTTGGATCTGAGAATTTTCTGGTTGTTAGGGAATAGGCTCTTACAAAAAGAGTTGCTTTGTGTCACAGTTGCTTGGTTTTTTGGTGCCTTCACAGCGCTGTTGGTAA